CAGGTCCCAACTTACTACTACATGGGAAGCCACATACCCTGTCTTACCTTCCACGCCTATAGCAATCAAGGTCCTGGCATCCCCAGCTGGATCCACCATACCCGGGTAAAACCATACTACTCTGAAGACCAAGACAAGTCTGGACCAAAGTGGATTCGGCCCACAGAATCCCTGGAAGACCTGTGCCTACTCTCTAAAAGGAGCCCTTGTAAGTTAAAACATTCTCCAGAGTCTTCATTTTCTCTTTTTGATAACATGCTTCAAATCAGTGCTCCTAGCTAATGCCTCTCCAATCATCAGGCACTTCAGGTTGAGGTTAATGTGCCCATCACTACGTCCTATGGCCATTCTTGTTGGATTGATTTAGAGGTACAAGGCTCATCCATAGAGGTGTGGCCGATCCCTCTGAGGGAATGGGCTCAGAAGGTTTCATATATTCTTCAACTTATACCAAGCATCAGCGAGCACATGCATCAGCCAAAAAGGCCAGCTTCTCACACCTTATTATGCAACCTTTTATACAAAGGTCAACATAGAGGCTACAGGCCCCCCTGCCTGAGTTCTCCCAAGGATATCCTGTGGGATCCCTAAATAACTCATCCTGCAACTTCATGGTCACACTATACACTAATAATCAGCTACTTTTCCCAAGCCCCTCTTGCTCTTATCTCTCATTCCTGCCAAACGTATCCGTAACACAGTGGCTTAATTACACCGGGAGCTTTTGCTGGGGTAAGCCCCCCATCATGTGGAGACCTAACACTGATGACCAGTGTAGGGATAGATAATTCATGAGGATGGCTAAATGACACCACCTGATATATCAAATCCTGGGAACACCAGATCAGTAATGCCTTCCACACAAGCCCTTTTAGTCTGCTAACTGCAACACTAATGTTAATACACCTTTCATCAAAAACTCGTGTTTTTTTTTTTGACAGGCAGAGTGGACAGTGAGAGAGAGAGAAAGGTCTTCCTTTTTGCCATTGGTTCACCCTTCAATGGCCAACACGGCTGGCGCACTGCGGCCAGCACACCGTGTTGATCCGAAGGCAGGAGCCAGGTGCCTATCCTAGTTTCCCATGGGGTGCAGGGCCCAAGCACTTGGGCCATCCTCCACTGCATTCCGGGGTCATAGCAGAGAGCTGGCCTGGAAGAGGGGCAACCGGGACAGAATCCGGCGCCCCGATGGGGACTGGAACCCGGTGTGCAGGCGCCGCAGGCGGAGGATTAGCCTAGTGAGCCACAGTGCCAGCCAAAAACTCCAATTTAACATACATCACATCAGGACGTCTCTCATGTAGAAGGGGTGTACTCTGGAGCTTCAATCAATGCTTGCCCAGTCTTGGATGGGGCTGTGCACACTGGTTATGTCATAGCCACTGTATCACTTGTTAATTCTTCAGCCCCCACACCAATCCCTTTACACACTTCAGTTTTCCAAAAGAATTCTGCCCCCTCCAACTTCCACCCTGTTGGGAATTAGCACCCTGAAAGAGGTAACAGGTCACCGCAGGAATAGCTGGGGCAGTCTCAGCAAACAAGATCTTTGTGAGGTTCTCCACCAACTTAGCTGAGCTTAGAACCAAGATCGCAGACCCCCTCTTCACTCTTGAAAAGTCAGTTCAACTCTTTGTGCTCGTCCTTCAAAGCAGGCAGACCCCAAACTAACTGTTGCCCAAGAGGGCATCTGTGCCATGCTCCAACGATTTGAGTCAAACTGGACAAGTACAAAACCATATTAAACATTTCTTGGATAAGGCCAGACAACCGTGGGACCAGAATAAACATGGTTGGAAGTTTGGGCCCAAAACCTGCTCATGGAAATTCTTGACCCTATAGCTCTTTTTTTTTAAAAAAAAAAAGATGTTTTTTTGAAAGGCAGAGTCATAGAAAGGCAGAAAGGTCGTCCATCTGCTGGTTCACTCCCCCAGATGGCCACAATGGCTGGAGCTGCACTGATCTGAAGCCAAGAACTTCTTCCTGGTCTCCCACATGGGTGCAGGGGCCCAAGGACCTGGGACATCTTCTACTGCTTTTCCAGGCCATAGTAGAAAGATGGATTGGAAGTGGAGCAGCCAGGACTCGAACCAGTGCCTGTATGAGATGCCGGCGCTGCAGACTGGGGCTTTAACCCGCTGCACCACAGCACCGGCCCCAGTCCTATAACTTATTATACTCTTACTACTTTCTTTGGGCCATGTGCCTTTAATTCCCTTGTTCATCTTGTCTCTAACAGACTAGAAGTCACCTGGCTCCAGATGGTCAAGAGGCAGGGCTTCCAGCCAATCGCCTTGGACACAACCAGTCCTTTGGACCAAGCAGTGCAATTTTTGCCCAGAAACCCTTCAAACACCCCAGGACAGACAGCAGGAAGAACATCAGTCAGCTCTACATTCTCACGCCAGCTCAGACACCACAGAAGGCCTTTGCTCATTCTACTCCTCCACGGTTATGTGTCAATTCCCTTGATGGGGGATTTAGGTAGGAAGGTAGACATTAGCTCATGTGTGCTAGAGAGGCCAAAGAAAGAAGGGAGATACCAGGGGGAACACGAGGGAAGGACAGAGCATTCATAAACATTTCCCAGAAGCAGCCCAGTATTTATGTGCCAAAGTCCTGCCTGTGTCTGCTGAATCGTGTAGGTCCCAGCCAATCCCCCTTCCCCGTGTGCATTCTGGAAGAATATTCCTGGACCAGCATGGAGGGGGTTATTTTGTCTGATAACACTGGGTAATAAAACTTTGGGATAAATTTCACACCTGTAAAGCCCTCTGCATAGCAATATTACAAAGCGGGGTGGTGGTGGTGGTGGTGGAGAAGAGGTGGGAAGAAGTAGACCCCAGGCTCAAAGAAGTCCCAATCTAAATGTAGACTGGGCACTCCATTTCCTCTGAGTAGTTGATCAATCCTGTAGTATGCACTACCCTCAAACTTTGCTAGCTTGCTTACCATCACTGACATCTGAAATTATTTCCTTTCAGGGACAAGAACTATTCCAGCCAACCGATGACAAAAAGGGCTCAGCCTTATCACCTCCCAAAGGCCCTTAGAGCAAAACCCCCATGCTTGCAAGACTCACCGCTCCTGTGAGCTGTTACAGAGTCTGTGCCTGGACAGATGTACCTCAGGAGTCAGACCCTGGAGCCAAGGTGCCAACGGTCTCTGGCATGCTGTCAGGGGTGAGGATGGTGGGGCCAGTTCCAGAGTAGGGGCTCAACATGAGATGGCATTGAGAATCACTATTTCTCAGTCACCCCTCTTTCAGTGATCTGTGCTATCAAGTTTTTTTTTTTTTTAAGAGAATAGTCAAGGTGTACGACCTATTCCATCACAAAGGCCTGAACCGGGTAATCCAGTTACCTGGAAAGACACCTGTGGCTATTGGCAGCTGCTACTGCACCTGTTCCTGGGCACAGACTGGGCAGGGAGTTGGAGCCATGGGTGACAGCATTAGTGAAACTTGAAGGGACAGCAAGGAGAATGTGCAGGAGGGTTGGAGGGTTCAGGAGACCCGTGAGGGTCATTTTTGTCACAGCACATTTCTGCATCCACCCTGAGACATAAATCCAGTAGGCCACCATCAACCCTCACTTCCGTCTACCCCCTGTAGCCTCCTGTTGTACCCCACCTCCATTCTGTGACCTTTTTACCATGCATCCCTCTGACCCCATTCCAAGAGCAAAGATCCTCATCTTCAGTTACTCTTGCCCACTGCGATCCATGTTCTCCTGCTTCCGTGCCACATTCCAGGATGCCAGCCCATTTCCCAAGTCCTCTGCACCCAGTAGTTTCAGGCACCTTCAATTTCCCCATGAATCTAATGCTTTCCTCTCACCTGCTACACACAACCCTGTAGCACCTGCTCTTTTCCTCCTGGGCCACTTAGGCGACAGCCAGTCTATCCCCTGTCTATCCCCATTGCCCTCTGCCCACGTCACCTGTCTCCACCCTATTAACTTCCTCAGGTTCCATCTCCTTCACCTACACCATCTGCCTCAACCCACTGCAGTTGTCCGAGGTCTGCCTACCCATCCGTATCTCCCTTCCCTTACACCATAAGGAGTCCCCTTTCTCATTCCCCCCACCATTAACCATGTATTGCAACTATCCCTTTTGTTTCCATGCCAACCTCGCATTCCTTATCCACCCAGATCCTAGTACCTCCAATGCCTTTAACTTCCTGCACACAAGCATTGCTCTAGAACACCTAACCAACGTTTAACACCTTTCCCTCTTGTCCTCCACATTCTCTCCTGCACTTTCTACCCCACTCTCTGGGCTCTCTCCACCACCACCTCATGCCCAGTCTCCTGCCTTTCCTCATGCCCTTGTCTCTCGTCTATCACACGTACACCGTCACTCACCTAAACACCAGTGTTAAATAGCTGTGGCTGACTGGTTTTGACAAATGCACTATGAGAGCATTCATGTGGCTCCAGCCCTGAGTCAGTACAAACAGAAAAAATAGGAATTGGGCTTTTCAGTAAACCAATGAGGGCAACTTAAAATGCCACATGTCTTGTATGTGGCCGTGGCTTTAAGCTGTCTGCCCCAGGAAGGGAACCCGCTGGTTTTTAGCCAGACCTTCAAAACTAGGCAAGGCTGCACAAAGAGAATTATACCCCCTTACCTGCACTTTTTTTTTTTGACAGGCAGAGTGGACAGTGAGAGAGACAGAGAAAGGTCTTCCTTTTGCCCTTGGTTCACCCTCCAATGGCCGCCGCACCGTGCTGATCCGAAGCCAGGAGCTTCTCCTGGTCTCCTATGAGGGTGCAGAACCCAAGGACCTGGGCCATCCTCCACTGCCCTCCTGGGCCACAGCAGAGAGCTGGCCTGGAAGAGGGGCAACTGGGACAGAATCCGGTGTGCCAGCGCCGCAGGCGGAGGATTAGCCTATTGAGCGATGGCACCGGCCACCTGCACTTTCGTTCTGTGGTTTTATTTACCCACAGTGAACTGTGGACTGAAAATGTAAGTCAAAAATTCCAAAGAGGGAGACACTCTGCCTTAGGTGAGCACAGACCTAAAATCCAAGCTGCCCAAAATGTTTCCAAAGAATTTACTTTCACAGAAAAATCTCAGTGATCCATGGAGCCTTTGTTAAAGGATTCTAATGGCCAGAAAATTCTAGGGCAAGTTATTTCATTTCCTCTTACAGTAGTTTCTTGTCCAAGCTCCCTGTAAGACGCTCTGCCAGTGAGGCCTCTCACTTCTTCCTCTTCTACCTGTGCAGTGCCCCACTCCTGGTCCTGCTCTCACCTGTCCCATATATATCCCTACCTCCCACAGTAGCTTGCATTCTTCTATGGGGTACATACCAGTTGGTTCTCCCAAGAATACACCTTAACCCGAACACCCCGACTAGTTGGATTTTGAGAGTAGTCAATCCAACTCTAATAGAACTGCTAGGGAGCTATCTAAGTTTTGAACACCAATGGTTACTTCTAGAAACCGAAGGTCTGAGTCAAGCCTGCAACTCATTCACAGATCCTTGCAGAAGGACTTTCTTGGGTTGGAATCTAAGATCTTCATTTACTCCTGACACAACAGGCAGTACAAAGATTCTGATTGCTACACCTTCCCCTGCCCCACCATGCCCATTCCACTCAGGGTGGCACGCTGAGGCCCGAGTAGGTACCTATTACACGTGCAGTGAGTTTGCATCATACCCAAGCATCCCCAAGTGTAGGAAATTCCAATCTTTTAAAGGCAAAAGCTGACAAACCGGTCACACCCTTTACCCCAAAAAGAGAAACTATATTTTAATACATAGGAAAAAATCTGCCCACTGTTTCCATCTTCCCAGGCTACTGCTTGCAAAAACACCCAAAAAAGGACAGTGTCTTATGAATAACTTGTGTTCTGCAAACATGAGAAGTCCATGAAGAACTGCCTTCCGGCATTTCTCTTCACTATGTTTGCTCTTGGAAATTTTTTCCTCCACAAGTATACCACTTCACCAAACTGGCGTTGGAGGACTAAGACTCGATCCATTCAACATTGCTCAAGCAGCACATAACTAAGATGATTTGCATGGAGCCTCTGGACCAGATTACGAGCACAGGATAGTATGAGCAGCTGGGGGCAACCTGCTATAGTCACCTTCTCTGTGTCCACCTAGGTCTCACGTTCAACCAGTACTCAGAGCTCACCCTAGAGGGACAAACAGTTCCCCCGTAAGTTTCTGTATGGATGTTTAAAGGATGATGAGTGACTAAGACAATTTACACGTTTATGATATTAGGAGATTTTGTGTTCCTCACCCAGTGAAAGCAGAGTCTGAATACCTGGGAGTCACGGCTCATAAGAAAGGGGCTTACAGTTGGAAAACACACAGAAATTAAGGCATTGCTGTTTACCAACCACCAACTGGAATTATATGAAACAGCAACACATGCATTCAAGATGGAAGAGAGGGTATAGAAAGACACAAAGGTGCACACCAGAGCAAGGATATTTTGGGTGGCTCTGGATTCAGGGGACAATCTGGAGGAAAGATGAGCGCTGTGAATGTGTTGGACCTGCTGCTTGTGCCTGTACAGAATGAGAGTCATGGAGCCACTGGACCAGATTATGATCACAGAAAATAACACTTCAGGGAATACCAACAAGGCTGTATATAGCGAGTCACTGATTTTGTCACGGCCTGTAGAACAGTATTCTAAGTCTCTTTTCTTTGTGACATTTTTGTTCCATTTTCCAGAATGGTATATAGGAAAAATTAAGTTTACCACCATGTACAGGATCCAGCAGAGATAAATGGAAAAGGTGATGTATTTTGTGGCTTTCACTTTGAGATCCTTCCAAGTGGAGTTCATGGGGCAGATCTTGATGGCCTGGAAGACGCTCAGGAGGCAAATGATGCTAATGGACACACTTCTGCCCACTCTCTGAATGTACAAAGTAAGTTTGCATGTAAAGTCATTGAAGAGATGCTTGAGCCTGAAGGCTGTCATCGTCTGGGGAACTCCAGTAGAGAGAAGGACCAAGGAGTTGGCCATCATGAGGTGCTTGAGAATCAAGTCTGTAGACCTCAGCTTGTGTTCAGTGTAGGAAAGGAAAACATAGCAGTAAACAAGCGAGAAGTTGCCCAGGATCCCGACAGCAGTCTGTGCGGAGAAGATCACTCCTTTGGAGAAATCCATGAAGATCATCCCTTCACTCACATTTCCCTCTAAGTTATGCCAAAGCCTTTTTCCTGACAGAAATGATTACCAAGAGTGACTTTCCTTACATACTCCTGTGGGATTGCCAAGATATCAATACGCACTTAGTGGTGGAGAGGAATACCAGTGTCTGTCATTCAGATTCGGGAGTATGAGGTGGTGTTCACCTGGGAGAAGCAATGGAAAGTGAACAGAGAAGCCATAATCCAACACTGCCAGCATAAACCGATATTTGCTAGTCATATCGAGATGACAGACCACAGCGGCATCCACAGACAGACCAGTTCTGAGTGGAGTGCCGATCAGATTTTAAAGATAAATAATGAAATTTTTACAGAATATTTATGTGGTCTTAGAATTTAAAAAATGATGCTTAAATAGCCCAACACATTAAATATGTGGTTGAAATGATAAATTAGATCATGCTAAATTATGAGCTGGCTTTCCTCAAATGATATACCCATACAATCTTCTCTGTGTACGTAATATATTTAGTGCAAAGAATAGTTAAAGAACACAGGATACAGTACAGGCAAAGCTTTCCAACAGAATCTTTGTTCAATGAGCAAATATGGGGGACACGTTCAGTGTTCTTGGTAATCATGAAAATCCAAGTGAAGTCACTACCTGATACCACCATACACCAATTAGAAATCTAAACAGAAATGGCATAGGACAGGTGATTGGGAAACTCACATTCCATGTTAGAGACCTGGCTTTGAGTCCCGAGTGCACTTCAGAGCCAACTTTCTAATGCGCACCCTAGGAGGCTGAAGCTGGCTCAAGTACTTGGGTCCCCCCAGAGGAGACCTGGCTGGTGTGACAGGCTCCTGGCTTTGGCTTGGTTCAGCCCTGGCTCTTTGAGGTGAGCCAGCAGATGCAAGATGCCCCTCCTCCTTCCCCCTGCTTCTTTTGGTCATTCTGCCTTCCAAATAACGTCTTAAAATTAAATTAAAAAATGGCAAGAAGGATGGACATGGAGCACAGTGGTCAGGATGCTGCTTGCCTCCCATATTGGAGTTCACGTCCCAGCTCCACTCCCAGTTCAACTTCCTGTTAATGTGCACTGGGAGATAGCAGATAATGGCTCAAGTACTTGGGTCCCTGCTACCCATGAGGGAGGCACAGATTCAGTTTTAGCCTCTTGGCATTGGCCTGGCCCAGCTTGGATTTGTTGGGTATTTGGGGAGTAAACTAGCAGAAGAGAAATTTGTCTCCATGCCTTTCAAATAGATAAAAATTTAAAAGTTTTAAAGATGGTAGGAAATACCAAGTGGTTTTTTTTTTTTTTTGACAGGCAGAGTGGACAGTGAGAGAGAGAGACAGAGAGAAAGGTCTTCCTTTTGCCATTGGTTCATCCTCCAATGGCCGCCACGGCTGGTGCGCTGTGGCCGGCGCACCATGCTGATCCGAAGGCAGGAGCCAGGTGCTTTTCCTGGTCTCCCATGGGGTGCAGGGCCCAAGCACTTGGGCCATCCTCCTCTGCCTTCCTGGGCCACAGCAGAGAGCTGGCCTGGAAGAGAGGCAACTGGCACAGAATCCAGCGCCCTGACTGGGACTAGAACCCGGTGTACCGGCGCCGCTAGGTGGAGGATTAGCATATTGAGCCTCAGCGCCGGCCGAGGAAATACCAAGTTTTAGCAAGAACGTACATAAAACCAAAATCTCATGCACTGATGATAGGTGTTAAAGTTGGTACAAACATTATAGACAACCGTTTGGTAGTAGCTACTTAAGCAGAATAGATAAGCCTATATACCAACAATTCCATTTTTACTAATATACTCAATTCATAAATATATATCAAAGATAAATTCCAGAACCTATACACCAGTAATAGTCATAATAGCCCCAACCTTAAGACCACCTACACTCCCATTAACAATAGAATGATTCCATGGGGCTGGCACTGTGGCGCAGAGAGCAAAGCTACCACCTGTAGTGCCAGCAAACCCTATGGGTGCCAGATCAAGTCTCGGCTGCTCCACTTCCGATCCAGCTCTCTGCTATGGCCTGGGAAAGTGGAAGATGACTCAAGTCCTTGGGCCCCTGCCCCTGTGTGGGAGACCCAGAGGAAGCTCCTGGTTTCAGATCAGCTCAGCTCTGGCCATTGAGGTCACTTCGGGAGTGAATCAGCAGATGGAAGACCTGTCTGTCTCTGCCTCTGCTTCTCTGACACTGCCTTTCAAATAAATAAGTCTTTAAAAAAATAGAATGATTAAATTCATTGTTTGATATTTACACAGTGGAATCCTATACATATAAAATAACCTGATACACATACAATAATCCTATAATGCTAATAAGCATCAACAATGCATTCACAAAAAAACCATACATGATAGAAGCAAATATAGAAGAGATTCCTGATACACAGTTCCATTTATATACAGATAAAGCAAAACTGATCTCTTAAATGTTCAGATAGATGTGAATTATGTCCCAATAATTTCAGTCCTACAAATAAACCCAACAGAACTGTATTTTTGGGAGTAGTAACTTAGAGGGGGCACAAGGTGGCAATATTTTGATTCAGGTGTTGCATACAGTGTTTTGTTTGGGAAATTCTAGTGAGCTGTGCAATTCATATTCTCTCTCTGACACACACACAGAACTGGAGAAAAGGTTTCTCTGGTTGTGTTTGACCAGCTGCTTGTGTCTACATAGAAGGAAACTTAACGCAGCCTCAACCTGAAACATTAAGCATAACAGCGCAGCACACTGTTGTGGAATTCAGAATTCTAAAGCTCCCCCCTTTGATGTTTTCACCACTCCACATGATAACCACACACACAGGAAGAGCAACACCCACCATAATGTACAGGTCCAACAGAGGAAATGGAAAGCCCAATATACCCAGGAGCTGGATTCTACCCACCTGGATTCTCGGTGTTTATCAAGATGCCTGGAGACACTCACAAGGAGGCAGCTGCCAATAGGATGCCTGCTGACTCTGTAGGACAGAAAAAAAGTCACTTCTCAGTCTTGGAGCAAAGGTTTCAACCTAAACGCCGCCACAGTCTTAGGGGCACCTGTTAGGAGGAGGATGTGTAACACATGCAGTCCCGTGCTTGCAGAATAAATGGCCATCAGCCCAATTCCCTACATCAGAGGAGAAAACGGAAGACACGAAGAGGAGAGATGCCCAGGGTCCCGACCACTCCTAGGGACTCGTAGACGTTCCTGTTAGAGCCCCACGGGCTGTTCTGCCAGTGTCCAGTGGCTGAATTTTCAGAGCCAGAGTGGCCTGCGTGGGAACACGCACTGTGGGCCAAATTTGTTGTAGCAACTGAGATCTAGTATCTCATGGAGAAATAAACTTTAAGAGGCTTTCCAGAGTTTAATGTATGCACTTTAAATAGCACCATTTGTGAGTGGCTGCTAGGATCCTCTACGCCTGGTACCTTCGTTGATTTTCCTAGTTATAGGATGTGGGCACCGGTATCGCTTTTCTTGGGAAGGCAATGAGATCTTAGCAAAGTGGAGATTCAGTGACCTAAATTCACAAGCTAGTTTGGCAGAGTGGAGACTTGAACCTGGTTAGTCTGAGTGCAAAGATCTTATCCTGATCATTGTACTACAGCAACAAACCAAGCCAGTGGTGTTTAAGAAACCTCCACTTCTAGTTCACTTGCTTTTGTAATTTTTATTTTATGCTGATGGTATGTCGTCATTGTCACAAGTTTTCATTCTGGTGTAAAGTTTTATTGTATAGGCTAGTATCAAATATGAGTGATGCTTCAGAGAACCTAAAACATTAATACACTCTAAGCTAATCCACAGGAAGCTTCTGTGTCCACGTTGGATTTAACGAATGGGAAACTGATTCGGCATCAGTTCACCAGTAGGCAGAACTATAGTGGCACCTATCAAAGGCATTGAGCATTGCTTTGTTGCTAGACTATGTAACATAAAATATTAATGTGCAATTAAAAGACTGTACAATGGAAACTAAGTCACTCCTTATGTCAGGCTATATAATTGTATTTATTAATGCCTAGGTTAAGACAGACTACCAGTAATGAAGCAAGATTTGAAGGATATTAAAATGCAAGAGAGGCACAAGAAATCTTAAAATAGGAGATCTTGTGTGTTGTGGAAGTTGCAACAGGAAAATATATTCTAAGCTCGGATTGATATTAGATTATTAAACAAGGGGAAACAGCACAAGATACATTTGGCCCTGATGTCTGCTGTTCAGTATCCACGATTATGCAGCTTTTCCTCTAAGGATGTGTTCCTAACCTCAGTAGTTTGGGAAGCCGTCTCACTGGAGTTGTTAGAACACAGGTGTTTCAGTAGAGACATAATCTCTGCCTCCATTGAGTGAGTCATAATCAGGGCTCCATAAGAACATCTTACAAATTTCAGAAACAAACTCAGGTCACAGTTCTTATGCACAGTAGATAATTTTGTATAATTCCACTCTGACTATAAGCATGAGGTATGACAGGCATACCTACACGAACACTGAAGTTGACTAAGATCTGTGCAGGGTACTGGGAATAGCAGACTGATTCCATTACTACATCCTTATGCACCTTCAAGAAGAATCAGTCTCGTTATCACGGGTTATTCGTCAAGATCATCCTCAGTGAAGATCTGATTAAATTGCATTGGGCACCATCAGGGACCAGCAGAGGACTTGGGACCCTTCCCCTTACACACGGCTTCTAAGGAATGCCTCCCCCCACCCCCCCACTGCATCGTGTCTGCTACGGGCTCCGGTGCTACTCCCGGAAGAACACCTTTCCCACCACGTGCACCTGCTCAGGTTTCCCTTCTTTACCGACTCCGTCAGACCGCAACACAGAATACTCACTGGACTCCTTCCGTCAGCTGGCTGGCAGCGCAGCAGCGAGGGAGGCAGCCAGGCCTCCAGATAAAGGTTTGTGGATCCATGAGTTTCCTTTCCCCTCAGAATTGCAATTAGCATTTCACCCGTGGTGGCAGTGACAAGGCAGCCTTGGGGAACCGAGAACACTTTGAGAGACCATCCCAATTGCCAATTACCAAAGCCAATCACCAGCTCTCATGAGTATCTTCAAAGGGATTGTCAGAACGGCCGAGAGCCTCTTTACATGATCCCTCAAAGCACACGAGGTCCCACTCGGGAATGAGATCTAAGTGTTTGGCTTACAGGGAAGTTTTGTTTCATTGGAGTCTAAGCGTCCCCAAGTTCCTTTAGCCTAAATCAAGTTAATCCTTAATTTCCAAGTCCCACGCTGCACCAATTTTGAGGATTCAGAAAACAAGCAGAATCAGGCAAAGTGCCCAAGGAGGAAGTCTCACAAGATCAAAGTAAAAAGAACATGATGTGAACCATTTGCAGTAGAAATTATTGCATCCACTTGTACAATGGGATGCAGATGAGTCCAGAAATACAGAAAGATTTTAGGAACATGAACTCTGTCAATACGGACCACAGCAGTGACAGGGAGTCTCAAGGGAACTCCGGTGCTATAGGGAAGAGAGAAGTCTAGGATCCCCTCACAAGGAGAAAGACACCATCGTGAGGTTGCTTAACCGAAGAGTCTGTTAGCTGTCAATCACGTGAGCCAATGGCACCTCTTAGTTCAGCAGTGCCCCATGACTACCAGAACTATCTCCACTTGGCTTTGCTAAGGAAAAATCCGAAGCACTCATTGGTTTCACTGCTCATCTATAATATAGATGACCTAGTGGTCAAAATCATCCTTTGGCCCTTGCGTCAGGCAAATCCATAGTTTGGACCAGGTCCAGTACCTTCTCCCAAAAGGATTTGTAGGCCACTGCTTGGAGGGACGTGGCCCACTGATCACCCTCACTTTGACACCAGCTGCAGGTCGGGAGGCCCAGGCTGCTCTCAGTTTTGCTCATTATCCAGGCCCTCACAGCTGTGCCAGCTCCTGCCCTGGCTGCGGGGTCATCACAGGGGACGGCCATGGACTGACAGCAGCCAGGGAAGCCACGCCCAGGGCAGAGGTCAGGAGAAGCATCGGCCACCGAGTGCCCCTCGGCCTCTCCCGAGCCACTCCTTTCTCAGCACTGATACAAGACCATGCTCACAGATGGCGTCAACCAGAGACGTCGCCCAAGTCTCCGCCCCAGAGTTTTTCCTGGCGCTCCCTCACATGGAGCTCACATGGGTGGGGGGGTGATGAGAAAGTTGAGCATGTAGGACAGAGAGTGGGCTAAGAGGGTACAAGGGGCAGAGGTCACGAGGGCCAGCTGGAGGCACAGGAAGCAAGAGTGGGGACTGAAGGGCAGGACCTGTCTAAAGCACATGGCGCATTCGCGGGCAAGGAGGAGCCAAGTTCATAAGGAACTTCAGGGCGTGGCAGGCACTGGGCCTTGAGAACAGAGTAAGGCAGTGAAGGGGTAAAGATTGTGGGAGAGACAACGGGCAGGAAGTAAGAGGCCCAGGAGAGGCCCTGTCTCAGTGGGCCCCGACCCTGGGCTCCTATATCACCCGTACCCTTGCCCCTGTTCCCCACCACCCCATCCAGCCAGCTCCACTGCTGAGCTAAAATGCCCCAGGAATTCCACGTTCGCCCAGGGTTCACCCTCAGGCCTTGGGGACACAGTGAAGGGGAGCCCAGGGTCAGCCTCATTGGGAGGAGCCAGCGTTCTGGCACGCACTTTGCAGAGGGCTCTGGTGAGCTGTGGCCGTGCCTGGTTCCAGAGGGCGCACAGAGTAACCTCGCTAACTCCAGAGAAACGCGCCCCAGAGCCCGACGCGGAAAGACCTGAGTCTCCTTTACTTACCGAAGCGAGCTGGGGCGGGCAGGCAGGCAGCTCACGCTCCCCGGCCTTAAATAGCGAGCCGCAAGCCTGCGTGATTGGAGCGTGATCAGGGCGCCCAGCTGAGCGCCCTGGAGTTCTGCTGGGTATCAGATCAAGGACGCAGCCGCAGCTGTCTGCCTGCTACCATCGTCCTCCCCAGCAGATCCTGCTTTAGGGGTTTCTCGCGGAGAAAGGGGGGCCACGCTGTTCTGGAGACCACCGCGCCTTCTCGTGGGGGCAGGGCCCCGTTGGGTGCCTTCTCCACGGAGTCTCAGCCCAGCCACAACGCTGGTGCTGTAGCAGCATTGGTGGGTGTCAAACAAAAATAGGTGTTTAAACCGTTCTAAAAGATTACTTATTTTTTTTTTAAAGATTTATTTATTATTTGAAAGTCAGAGTTACACAGAGAGAGAAGGAGAGGCAGAGAGAGGTCTTCCATCCACTGGCTCACTCCCCAATTGGCTGCAACAACCAGAGTTGCACCAATCCAAAGGCAGGAGCCAGGAGCTTCCACGCAGGTGTAGGGGCCCAAGGACCTGGGCCATCATCTACTGCTTTCCCAGGTCCCAGCAGAGAGCTGGATCGGAAGTGGAGCAGCCAGGTCTCGAACCGGCACCCATATGGATTGCCAGCACTGCAGGCGGTGGCTTTACCCGCTATGCCACAGCGCCGGCCCCCGAGATTACTTATTTTTTAAATGCTGATTTACTTGTAGAGCAGAACAAGAAAGAGAGAGAGCTATGAGCTAGTCCACTCCCCAAATATCTGCAACAGCCAGGATTGGGCCTGGGACTCCACGTGGGCCTCCCACATGGATGCAGGGGCCCAGGCACTTGGGCCACCTTCTGCTGCCCCCCAAGACGCATTGGCAAAGATGCTGGCACTTGAACGGGCACTGGGATACAGGATGCCAGTTTCCTGAGCGCCGGCTCCACCTGCTGTGCCACTGTCCCCAGCCCTGGCGGGTGTTTCCTGCGGGGGCGCCCCCTGCAGACTGGGGAGGAGAACTAACCTCCTCCAGGTGAGAGCTGCTGGCTCCTCGGTTCTTCCTGCGGCGGGGGCCAAGGAAGCCAGTGCCCTCTGCATCTCCCGGTCCTCCCAAGTGTGGGGAGGAGGTACAACCTGGGCCATCCGGAGCAGAGTTCCGCAGACTTCCTGGGCTAGGTGCACGGTCGCACAGAGCTGGGGGCCCTGGTGTCACGGTGTAGTCGTAGTGCTGTCTCTGGGAGCTGCAGAGGGAGACCTGGTCTGGGATGCTCTCCTAGCTCGCTCCTTCTTGTCGCCGCAGTACCGCAGTCATTGCGCGACCTTCTCCCTCTGCGCACCGCCAGAGCCCGACCCTGCTGTTTTTCGAGGCCTCCCATCATTTTGGGTTAGGGCCCCCCTGCTCCAGTGTGACTTCACCACGTTCTCAAGGGTGTCGGTAGAATTCATTTCCTCCGTATGGCGTCTTCTTGTACCCACGTGTACCCCATCTTCAAGGCCAGAAATAGCACGGGAAATCCCTCTCATAGTTCAAATCCCCATTTCTTCTTTGACCACAGCTTCTGTCCATGAGGAGTTCTTGTAATTATCTTGGCGCCACCTGTGAGCCAGGGCACTATCGTTAATATCAGCTAATTAGGAAGCTTAATTACAAAGGCAATGTTTTAGATGAAACATTAAATAATCACTCAAGTTATGTTAACTCCAGGTTTGGAGCTCTGCCTATGGTATTATGAGAAAATAATTTGTAGCAGTGGAAAAACTTAATTGTTAAAAATTAAAAAAAAACTTCTAAACTAGTAGCACTTGTTACCATTTGTGATGGTTTCGTGTAAGTAAAATGGTATTCCAAAAGAAAACAGCAAACGCTGAGGAGTAATCAATGTGGAGTAACACCCTGACAGTAGGGACTCCATTTTGGAGCACCTGAGACTCCATCTTGAGAAAGCACGCCACCTCCCCCCACTTCTCCTGCCCCATGAGACTCTGGTCTGAAACTATGATCTAAAACACTCAGGCCGGTGCCGTGGCTCACTAGGCTAATCCTCCGCCTTGTGGTGCCAGCACACCGGGTTCTAGTCTTGGTTGGGGCGCCGGATTATGTCCCGGTTGCCCCTCTTCCAGGCCAGCTCTCTGCTGTGGCCAGGGAGTGCAATGGAGGATGGCCCAAGTGCTTGGGCCCTGCACCCCATGGGAGACCAGGAGAAGCACCTGGCTCCTGCCTTCGGATCAGCGCGGTGCGCTGGCCAGAGCGGCCATTGGAGGGTGAACCAACGGCAATAGGAAGACCTTTCTCTCTGTCTCTCTCACTGTCCACTCTGTCAAAAAAAAAAAAAAAAAGATCACTGTTGCACAGGGGTACAGACAAGGGCTAAAAACAATAATTAAATCATAAGATATCAGTTTACTTCTTGTAGGTTGTTTTTTACCCTATATTAATTACCAGATATCAGAGAAAACATAAGATATTTGTCTTTATAAGACTGGCTTATTTCACTAAGTATAATGGTCTCCTGTTGCACCCATTTTGTTGCTAAAGATAGGATTTCATTGCTTTTATGGCTGAGTAGCATTCCATTGTGTATTTGTTTCCTTGCACTCTGAATGTGAGTGTCAGCATCTGGGATGTGACAGAAGGTGGTCCACTGATCTGAAAATAGGCATTATCTCCTTATCCCAGACCATACTTGAGATCCCAGGGACTCTCTCTTTTCTTTCTCTTTGTCATAATTTGCTTCAGTGGATGTGGTTGAAAGTGCACAGAGCTGGTTCTCAGGCTCCTGACTCTTGCCAGTGCCTTGACACTTCATTGTGAACATGTCCTCCGCACAACGGAACATCCTCCACACAACGTTCAGGCTGAAACATTTCCTCAGAGATTTCGCATGCACAGTTGTTCCTGGATTCAGTGTGGCCAATGGCATATCCTTTGACAGTTGTTGAATAACTTACAGGCCAACTAGATCAGTGTGAAAAATTCCACATAGACAGTTTAAAATAAAAGTTCCAAGTTCACTTATTTTCCATTTACTTGTGCTGGATTTTGCACATGCTTGTACTTGTTTTTAGACACCAGAGCCCTTTAGGAAGTTCATGAATAGATGCAATTAAATTAGTTTTGGTACAAAAAAGAAAATCTGTTAATAGTTTTTTTTCTTTCTTTTTTTTAAAAGATTTATTTATTTAGTTGAAAGTCAGAGTTACACAGAGAAGAAGGAGAAGAAGAAGAAGAAGAAGAAGAAGAAGAAGAAGACAGAGAGGTCTTCTATCCGCTGGTTCACTCACCAATTGGCCACAATGGCCAGAGCTGCACTGATCCGAAGCCAGGAGTCAGGAGCTTCTTCTGGGTCTCCCATGGTGGTGCAGGGGCCCAAGGACTTGGACCATCTTCTACTGTTTTTCCAGGCCATAGCAGAGAGCTGGATTGGAAGAGGAGCAGCTGGGACTAGAACTGGTGCCCATATGGGATTCCAGTGCTTCAGGTCAGGGCATTAACCTGCTGTGCCACAATAGTTTTTTCTTAACACACATTTCCGATGAGCTTTTCGAATTATCTTCATATATACACAAAACACAGAGGATACAATTACCCATATATAAATAGTAAGAGTTTATCTATTAATAATTACATTGCATATAAATGAATTAAGCTCCTGAACTGAAAGTAAAAGAAAGCAAAAACAAAAAGATACGACTATATGGCATCCAAAAGATACTTTACATATAAGCACAAACATAGACAAAGTGAGAGATGGAGAAATAAATTCCATGCCAATGGTAACTAAAATAGAGCAGAGATTGCTGTATTTGTGTCATACAAAACAGACCTTAACTCTAAGTTGTTATAAGACACAACAAGTTTATGAAATAGTGATAAACATGTCAACTCAAACAGGAAGATAAAGCATAGAAATATACATATGCACCCAACACCAGGGGTAGATAAAGCCAAATATAGGCAGATCTGAAGAGACAGCAGTAAAATAGCAGCAAGAAACTTCAATACCCCACTTTCTGTAGACTTTCCAGACAGAAAGTCAATGTGCAAACAGCAGAACAAACAACACTGCAGACAAGATAGGCTTAACATACACCTTCCCACACCAGAGTAGAAAATCTACATTCTTCTCAAGCACACACAGCACAATCTCCAATATAGGCCAAATGTTAGATCACAAAACAGGTCTTAAATTGAAGACTGAACTCAACCCAAATACCGTTTCCAGCCACAATAGGATGAAACTAGAGGTTAATAATAGTAAGAAAATGGTAAAATTCACAAGTATGTGGAAATTAAATTTCATGAAAATCATTAGATCAAAGAAGAAGTCAAGGGCGTGTTAGGCACAGCTGTTAAGATGCTGTTTGGGACATCTGCACCCAATATCAAGTGCCTGGTTCAAGTTCTGGCTCTGCTTCCAATCTGGCTTCCTACTAATGCACACCCTGGGAAGGCAACAGATAATGGCTCAAGTCCCAAGTCTCTGCCATCCACATGGGAGACCCAGATTGACTTTCAGGCTCCTGGATTCAGCCTAGCCTAGTCTTGCCAATTTGGGCATTTAAGGAATGAACCAGCAGATTGAAGATGTCTGACTCTATTTCTTTGCCTTTCAAATAAAATAAAAATATATTTCTAAAAAGTTAAAAAAAAACTGGGGGTGGGAGTCAAAAGGAAGTCTGAAAAAATGTCAAAATAATTAAGATAAAGATGCATATAGTATAATTGTCAAACAGAGCAAAAAGCAGTAATAAGGGGGAAGATTACAGAGGTAAACAAGTACATTTTTTAAAAAGTTCTCAAATAATCTAATTTTACATTAAAGACCAGAAAAACAAGAAAATAAGCCCAAACATGACAGAAAGGAGATAATAAAGGTTGGAGGATAAATAAGTAAAACAGAAAATAGAAAAGCAATATACAAAGTGCAGAAAATAAAAAGTTGGCAAAATGGTACCTGGACTTAAAAAAACACAGAAATTATATAAATAAAAATGTGAAGAGAAATTACGATATCTCAAAAATAAAAAGAACCAGAAGACCTACCCTGAACAATACATAAACTGGATGCTCTAAAGTAATGGATACACACAGAGAAGCACAAACTCTGATCAGAATAATAATGTAAACAGAGATTCAGGGTGGGCATTGGGCAGAGAAGACACTGCTTCAGATGCCCACACCCCATGAGACTGCCTGGGCTCAAGTCCTGGCTCTGCCTCCTATTCCAGCTTCCTGCAAATGCAGATCCTGGCAAGCAGCAGGTGATGACTCAAGCACTCGGCTCCTTGACACCCACATGGGAGACCTGGATTGAGTTCTGGGTTCTTGGCTTTGGTCTGGTTCACTACCCAAATGGGCCACGCTGAATCCAAGAGTTTCATTCCAGTCTCCCACATGGGTGCAGGGGCACAAGTACTTACGCCATTTTCAGCTGCTTTCCCACGCATATTAGCAGGGAGCTGGATCAGAAGTGGAGCATCTGAGACTCAAACCAGTGCCCACATGAAATGCTGGCACTGCAAACAGAGGCTTAACCTTCTGCACCACAGCACTGAGCCCTGAAATTTTTTATCCCATTTGTAAAATGCTCTTCCAGTAAAACTTATAAAATTGATTATCTCACAGTCATTTCTGTGTTTTAATGCAACTCCTGAAAGCAGTATCTCAAAAATGTGTTCAACAATTGTATTGGGAGATGGAAGCCAGTGTGCAGAAGAAAGGGAATATGACAAACTTTTTTTTTAAAGATTTATTTATTTGAAAGTCAGACTTAGAGTTAGAGAGAGAAGGCAGAGAGGTTGGTCAGTCTTCCACCTGCTGGTTCACTCCCCAATTGGCTGCAAGAGCTGGAGCTGTGCTGATATGAAGCCAGGAGCCAGGAGCTTCTTCCGGGTCTCCCATGCGGGTGCAAGGGCCCAATGACTTGGACCATCTTCTACTGCTCTCCCAGGCCACAGCAGAGTTGGATTGGAGTGGAGCAGCTGAGACTGGAACCAGGGCCCATATGGGATGCCAGCACTGCAGGCAGTAGCAACTTTACCTGCTACACCACAGCGCTGGCCCCAGCTTTTGACAAACTATAAGCATGAAGAAAATTGTACTCTTCCCTAACCAAAGTCAAAAGTATAAAGAGTAAAACATTCTCAGTTGTACTGTGGAGCTGAACTCCACGTTTTGTTTAATTATTGACTTTTAAGTCTCATTTCTTCCTCTTTGTATTCTCACCACTGAGTCAAGGACAATAAATTCTTTGGCAGCAACTGGAAGATAAAAACACACCTGGAAAAAAAAATCTGGATCCCTGCACTCCAGTCCCACATTGTCACCACAGTGACATAAGCCAGTCAGCTTTCCTGCTCTCATGCCATTACTAGACCAGTTTAGAAAGTACTCTTTTGTGGGGAGCAGCCCGGACTGGACTGAGTTACTGGAATTAAGACTTATTCTATGCATCTGCTCTCCCACAATATGGCGCTGGGAGAGAAGTAAACAGCTTCCGCACAGCTGCCTCCAGTTCAACCAATAAACTGTAGGACTTGCTCCTGATTGGAGAGCAGCGTACTCGGCGTGTGGGCAGCCGAGTTAGGATTGGCGGAGGAAGACTATAAAGGAGGAGAGAGACGGCATGCACCAGGAACATCTAAGGGGAACATCTAAGGGAACACCTGTGCAGCCCCCGAGAAAGCCGACCAGCGGTGTGCCGCTCCCCTGCGGAAGTGGGGAATGTGGCCAGGGGGAACTGCCCTTCCACGGAGGTGGAAGGGATAGTAGCCAACCCGGGAAGAACCAGCAGCAAACCCGGGGAGGGCCGAGCAGATGAGAGAACAGCGCAGGGTCCTGTGTTGCTCCTCCACGAAGAGGGGGAGCGACACTCTTTCCTCGGAAAGCCTTTTTACGTAATAAACACTCACTAAACACTTTCAGTATACAACACCAGTATACAACATCACAAACAAAACTTTTGGTTATTGTTCAATTCAGTTCCTGTGGTCACCAGTAAAAATTATCAAAAATGTTATGTGGATTAACCTATTAAGTTTCTAGATTTGGAACAAAGATCCCATCTTGTACATCCATTCTCATGAGGAAATTCATATCTTTTCAAATTATTTATTTATTCAAAAGGCAGTTAGAGAGAGGCAGATAGATGTCTTCCATCCACTGGTTTGCTCACCAAATGGCTGCAATGGCTGGAGTTGGGCCGATCCAAAGCCAGGAACCAGGAGCTTCTTCAGCGTCTCCCAAACTGGTGCAGCAGCCCAAGGAGGACTTAGGGCCATATTTTATTGCTTTCCCAAGCCATACCAGAGAGCTGGACTGAAAATGGAGCAGCCAGGACTTGAACAGGCACCTATATGTGATGCTGGCACTACAGGCAGCGGCTTTACCTGTTACACCAAAGCGCCAACCCCTCAAATTATTTCATCAAATACTTCAAGGATGAAAAAGAAATATTTTTGTCCTTAATCCCCACATTTACTTTACTGTATGTAAAATAAGGTGGATTTCATGTGTTTTTAATGGTGTACCAGAGAAAGGCATTTAGAAATAAATACAAAGCATGTTCATCAACACTGTTGTAGATCTCAGAGTTTGAAACTACATTTCTATTAGATTTTCCATTATACCCATATATTTAACCTTTGGCAAACATGGAGAGAATAACTCAAGGGCAAGACTTGATCATATGTTTTCCAAATTATATGTTGCTTGGTTCCACTATGGGAAACCATTACAATAGATCCTTCAAAAATCACATGAACCTAATGGTGGCATTATCAGTATCCACCATGAAACATCCTAGTGAAGTGGGACAAACTATGTTGGTTTTAAGGAAGAACATGATTCAATTGGCTATGAAAAAAGATTAAATTTTATTAAGACCTCATAATCTGAATAAAGCAGTAGGAAATACAATGCTAGCAGTTGAATATGATTCCTGATCAAGAGCATACTTTGCAGTTGATTAAATGCTACTCTCCAGTAACCATTCTCTCTTAAATTTCAAAAACAAGGCTAATTTTTCATCAATCTTGTTATACATTAGCTTTTGCTATTCAATATAGGTGACCACCATTTCACTTGTATTTCAACCACATAATCAACCCTTAAGAACATATCACTTGCTTGCGCCGTGGCTCAATAGGCTAATCTTCTGCCTGCAGCGCTGGTACACCAGGTTCTAGTCCCCGTAGGGGTACCAGATTCTGTCCCGGTTGCTCCTCTTCCAGTGCAGCTCTCTGCTGTGGCCCGGGAGTGCAGTGGAGGATGGCCCAAGTGTTTGGGCCCTGCACCCACATGGGAGACCAGGAGAAGCACCTGGCTCCCGGCTTTGGATCAGCATGGTGCACCAGCCGCAGCGGCCATTGGGGGGTGAACCAATGGAAACGGAAGACCTTTCTAACAATTTTACAGGCAAGTGGCAGAGCACTCCTTACCTAAATCCCTGTTGGGAAAATGGCAAACTGAATGCAATAAGCAGGATGACTGACATCATAGTATTAGCATTATTCTCAGCCCCTTGCAAATGTTCTCAAATACAGATATTAAAATGTAAAAGGCAGTATTCTTTTTATCCAGGAACAGCAATAAGAACTTTCCTCACCTGTGGTGGAATGAGAAGGCCATATCAAGATGGCCACTGGCAAGGGAACATCAGTTACTCAGGTATGGCTTTGAAACCCACCTGGCAAATGGAGCCTGCCTGGAACAGGCTGAGATTGGATGGCTTTGGAAATCACATGGCAAATGGAGCCTGCCTGGCAACAGGCTGTGATTGGTTAGGGCATAAACCACCCCTTGACCTGATTGGCTGTCTTGGCTATATAAGCTGTTGTACCAACTGAAATAAATAAGTCTGCAGGCTGCTCCCCTCTGGCCCACTTTCACCTGACTCCCAGGGTCTGTGTGGTGACTCTGCGCTTCTTGCCCCCACCACGCTCCTCCTCTCAGGAACGAATCCACAGCACCATCTGGCATGCCAACGTGACTGAGAAAGAGACAGCGTGTCGGACTCCCCCTTGGATTTCGGCAAGTAGGCCCCTCAGTGTTCTGTGTGCTGTTCGGTTCTGTGAGGGTGAGCATAGAACCCCCTCCTAAGCCCCTTTCCTTGTCCTTGGTCTAAGTGACCCCAGGTTAGGCACACACCACCCAGAAGCATAATTATGGCCTTTTTCCTTCTTTCCTATACACCACAAGACATGAAAGGAAGGCATAACATCAGATTTCTAATTTCATTTTAAAAGGAGAAAATACTAAAAAACTTTCCAAGAAACCTCAAAAAAAGGAATGTTTTAAAACCTGAGGATTTAGTTTCCAAGTATCTTTGCACCTCTGACATTTTAACTTAATTCCTAACATATTCTGACTTGCAATTATTCTGCAATGTATGACATCAAAAGTTAGTCTTGAACAATTACAATGTACTCACTTTATGAATTCTGATGTGGAATGTATTGTCAGAGTTGGCTAATTTACCGTATCACTACATTTATAAGGGTCCTTTAGAGTATGAATTCTTTGGTGAATCCTGGGGACGCACTTTGACTAGTGAACATTCCAGGTTTATCATTTTTGTCTGGTTTCTCTCCTTGATAAATCCTCTCATGACTCCAGGGTCATTATTTTTGTCTGATTTTTCTCCTTGATAAATCCTCTCATGACAACAAAATCATAAATGTTTTGATTAAAAATACTTCTTATACTCATTACACTTGTAAGGTTGCTCTCTGGTTTGAATGCTGCTCTACAGTTTGGATGCTAGACAACATACTCAGTATGCAAATTACATTCCTATGGTTTCATTAGAGATGTGCTGTTTGGTGCTTAGTGAGTTTCTGGGTGTGGACGTCTTGGACACACATATTAGTTACACAACTCTTCAATACAGCTTCTGTGATGTTGGTTAATGCTTGGACTCACAATGGCATGCCAGACTTATCTGCAAGGTCTCTCCAGTGTGAATTATCTGATAATGTGCACAGTACGGACTGTGTGAGAATGCTCTGTCACATTCATTACATTTCTATGGTTTCTCTCCAGTATGGATTACCCAATGGTTACTGAGATGCGAGTACCGAGAGGATTTTCTACAGACACAAGCTTTGTATGTTTTCTCTCCAGAATGGAGTATCTGTCTAGTGAGGCCTGAATGGATACTTACATTCTCCACACTCTGGGCATTGTGCAGATTAAGCTGCTGCCCATGACCCTGGCATCCCATGAGCACGAGTTGTGAGTCTCAGCTGCTTCACTTCTGATCCACCTCCCTGCTAATACACCTGGGGGCGCAGCAGACAGCCCAAGTACTTGGGTCCCTACCACTCATGCGAGAGACCCAGGTGGATATCCTGGCTCCTGATTTCAGCCCGGCCCAGCCCCAGCTGTTGAAGCCTTTTGGGGGAGTGGAACAGTGGATCAAAGATCTGTCTCTCCCTCTTTGTAAGTCTGTCTTTTGAATAAGTGAATCTTTTCCTAAAATAAGATTTTGTACTCTCATTACAGTTGTGAAGCTTCTAACATGAATTCTTAGGTGAATACTGATGTGACTTTCACCTTAAGACCTTGTCACAAAAAATACATTGGCAAAGTTTCTCTTCACTATGGATTAACTAATAGTAAGCTTTCAACAAAAACTAACAGCTTTCACACATCCATAACACACATGTAAAGCTTCTTTCCAGTAGGAATTTTCCTATGGTTTTGCAAGGTTTGAACACTGAAGACTTTGCCTCATTTATCAGCTTTCCAATAAAAAATCTCCAGTGATTCTGAAGTTATCAATTCTCATTGAAGACCCTTCCATTTTCACAATATGAATTTCACAATGGGGTAGGACTGAACACACACTAAAAGCTTTGCCATACTTATTACATCTGTAAGGTTCCTCTCCACCATGAATTCTCCAGTGTACAAATGTCAATTATGACTGAAGACCTTAACACAGCTATTACATTTCTAAGGCTTCTCTCCAGTATGAATTCTCTGATGATGTGCTAGGGATGAATGCAGACTGAAGACTTTGCCACATTTATCACATTTGTAAGGTTTCTCTCCAGTATGAATTCTGTGATGACATGCAAGATATGAATTCTGGCTGAAGACTTTGCCACATTCATTACATCTGTAAGGCTTTGCTCCAGTATGAATTATTAGATGTTCTGAAAGATACGAATTGCGACTAAACACTTTTCCACATTCGTTACATTTGTAGGGCTTCTCTCCAGTATGAATTTTTTGATGATTTGCTAGGGATGACTTGTGACTGAAGACATTGCCACACTCATGACATTTATAAGGTTTCTCTCCAGTATGAATTCTCCGATGTTGTGCAAGGTGTGAAACTGGCTGAAGAGTTTGCCACACTCGTCACATTTGTAAGGTTTCTCTCCAGTATGAATCCGACGATGACATGTGAGGTGTGAACTGCGACTAAACACTTTGCCACATTCATTACACTTGTAAGGTTTCTCTCCAGTATGAATTGTCCGATGTTGTGCAAGGTGTGAAATCTGATGGAACACCTTTCCACATTCATTACATTTGTAAGGTTTCTCTCCAGTGTGAATTCTACGATGACTTGCAAGGTGTGAAATCTGATTGAAAACTTTGCCACATTCATTACATTTGTAAGGTTTCTCTCCAGTATGAATTCTCTGATGATTTGCAAGGTATGATTTATGACTAAAGACCTTTCCACATTCATTGCATTTGTAGGGTTTCTCTCCAGTATGAATTCTCCGATGTTGTACGAGGTGTGAAATATGATTGAAGACCTTTCCACATTCATTACATTTGTAGGGTTTCTCTCCAGTATGAATTCTCCGATGACTTGTAAGGTTTGATTTTTGGTTGAAGACCTTGCCACATATATCACATTTAAATTGTTTCTCTCCAGCATGGATTAACTCATTTACAATAAAGTGTGAGCCTCGATTAAAAGTTTTGCCATATTCATTCTTTTTGTAAGATTTTGTACTAATGTGTGCCTCCTGTTCTTGTGTGAATAAAGAATCCATAAAATCATTTTCAAATTTATGAGAAATATGGGTTTTGACACTGGGAGGAATTCTCAGGTGGGGCAAAACCAAGGAACCACTATTAATAGACTGCACAACACACTTATATTCATAAATTTTTCCATCAGCTTGAAACAGCTGCAATTCAGGTAGATGTAACTGAAACCTTGTTCCAAGTTGATTTTTAATATGCTTCTTTTCTGTAGCCCTTCTACCATACTGCTTTTGTCTATCAGTGAGATGTTCCTTTTGAGTCATACACACTCCTTTATGATGTCTTTCCTCATTCGTCCAATAACACTTAAAGTCATGTACATTTTTCTGGATGTCCCTGAGATGAAATTCTTCAATTTCATGGCTTTCCTGTGCTTCTAACACCACTGTTTGGAATATTTCTTCTAAATTACTATTCCTTTCTGGTGGCAATTCCTTGGTGACATATTTAGAAAAGATATCTACAAGATACAAAGAACCATACATGTCTGATTAATTTCAGATAATAATTAAGTATATCCTGTTGAAATACATATTACACCAAAAGTAATGTTTTAAGCAATTATGAAACTTGAAATCACTTAATTACCTTTTCAAAAAGATATATTTATATTTACTTATTTGGAAGTCAGAGTTACAGAAAGAAAAGGAGAGGGCCAGCACCGTGGCTCAATAAGCTAATCCTCCACCCTGCATCGCCAGCACACCGAGTTCTAGTCCTGTTCAGGGTGCCGGATTCTGTCCCGGTTGCCCCTCTTCCAGGCCAGCTCTCTGCTCTGAACAGGGAGTGCAGTGGAGGATGGCCCAAGTGCTTGGGCCCTGCACCCCATGGGAGACCAGGAGAAGCACCTGGCTCCTGCTTTTGGATCAGCATGGTGCGCTGGCCGCAGTGTGCCAGCAGCGGCAGCCATTGGAGGGTGAACCAATGGCAAAGGAAGACCTTTCTCTCTATCTCTCTCTCTCTCACTGTCCACTCTGCCTGTCAAAAAACAAAAAACAAAAAAAACAAAACAAAAAAAAAGAGAGTCAGAGACTCAGAGACAGAGACAGAGAGATATCTTGTATAAATAAAAGACATAGAAATATTTGGAAGCCTAGTTTCAGACGAAGTATAACCAAAACACTCATTGTATATACAACACTCAATACACTAGAAATACAAGGAATCTATCATAATAGCATAAATGTCATATAGAAAAATGTCAGACCAAAAAGTAGATGCAATGTTGAAAAATTGTAAGATTTTACTGAATACCAGGAAAAAGGCACGGAAGCCCACTTTCACTTTCTATTCCACACAGTACTGGAATCTTAGCCTTATTCTAGATAAGAAAAAGAAATGAAAGCTATGAAATTGGAAAGGTAGCAATAAAATTATGTTCATGCATGACATAATCTTGAATGTAAACCACCCTAAAGATTCTACAAAATGATATTAGGACTAATGGATGAATTAAGTCAAGTCTTAACTTGCTCCCGATTCCAGCTCCTGCTAATGTGTGTGCACCCTGAGAGGCAACAGTGATGGCTCAAGTACTTGGGTCCCTGTCACCCACATGTGGGAGATGTGGACTGAGTTCCTGGCTTTTGGCTTTGGCTTGGCCCAGCCCCTGCTGTTGTCGGCATTCGAGAAGTAAGCCAGTGGATGGGAGATCTGTTTGCCTTTCAAATAAATAAATAAAAATAATAAATAAAAATAAATAAGTAAAAATTATTTTAGAAACCCTCACATGTATCATCAAATAATCTTCAAGAAAGGTGCCAAGGCTATCTAACAGGGAAAGGTCACTCTTTTCAACAAATGGTGCCAGAAAAATTGGATGGATACATGCAGAAGAATGAAAGTGGATCCTTACTTTATATCATATGGAAAAATTAGATCCATGACCTACATGGAAGACATAAAGCTATAAAATTCCAAGAAGAAAGCATGTCACCCATGTTTTATGACATTGAATTTGATGATTTTCTTGGACATAACATCAAAAATTCAGGCAATAAAAGTAAAAATAGACCAATACATCAGTATTTAAAAAAACTAAGCACCAAAGGAAATAATCAACAGAGTGAAAAGAAAGCCAATGGATAAGGCAAAAAAAAAAAAAAAGTGAAAATAATATTATTTGCTAAGAGAGTAATATGAGAATACAGAAAGAACTCTTATATCTCAACAACAGCAACACAAAAAACAAGTAACTAATAAATGGGCAAAGACACTTAACAGGTATGTCTTGAGAGATGATGCACAAATGACCAACAAGCATATGAAAAAACAGAAAACAAATCAGTAATCACTACAGAAATGTACATAATAAACACAGTAAGATATCACCTTATATTAATATATTTTCTGTCAAAAAGAACAGAAAGTAAGTATTGGCAGATATATGGAGAAATCAGACTTGTGCTCTATTGGTGAGAATGTAAAATTGTGCAGCTGCAATGCAAATGAAGTATGACATTTCCTCAAGTAATATGAAACTGAATTATCCTATGAACCCTTGAGTCTACTTCTGGGTATATTCTAAAAAGAACTGAAAACTGACTGCTACATCCATGGCTGCCGCCACTTCTATACAGCAGAAAAACCAAATGTGAGACCTCAGGAGTGTGTACATCAAAAGCAAATTTCACAGTAAAATCACCCAAATTTAAGAGAATACAAAATCAGGAAGCAAAGTTTTCCTGCACTCATACAGTAAGAGCAGTAGAAAAGAGGTAACCATGAAATGCGGTGTCAGCCTTGGTGGGATCTGGACGTAGGACTCAGCTCTGCACACAGGCCCCATGTAGAGAACTTGAAAGACTGAGGTATGCATCCACTCCAGGAATGAGGATCCAAGAGGAATTTCCTGTTGCCTATCCTTCTAGTTCTGCTGAGCAATCTCAGAAGTCTCTCACAACCAAGAAATGTGGATCGAAGCAAAACTGAAAAGAAATGGCTGAGGAACCTCAATAGGCAGAGGAGCTCCAATAGCTCCTGGTGGCTACTGGGGTCTTGGGTGCAAAGGAACAGGTGACATTCCCCACTTCCTTGGAAGGCTGGGTTTTCCACGCCTAGACATGTGATGGAACATGGATGGATCATGTCACACAGCATGGTGATGGAGGCCTGAGTTCTTTTCTTTTTTTCTTTTTTTGACAGGCAGAGTGGACAGGGAGAGAGACAGAGAGAAAGGTCTTCCTTTGCCGTTGGTTCACCCTGCAATGGCTGCCATGGCTGGCACGCTGCGGCTGGCGCACTGCGGGGATCCAAAGGCAGGAGCCAGGTACTTCTCCTGGTCTCCCATGGGGTGCAGGGCCCAAGCACTTGGGCCATACTCCACTGCCTTCCCGGGCCACAGCAGAGAGCTGGCCTGGAAGAGGGGCAACCAGGAAAGAATCCAGTGCCCCGACCGGGACTAGAACCCGGTGTGCCAGCGCTGCTAGGTGGAGGATTAGCCTATTGAGCCGCAGCGCCAGCCGAGGCCTGAGTTCTGATCTAACCTGACTGAGAACCAGGAGAGTAGAGGGTGGAGACACTTCTGAAACAACTGTCCCTGCGCCACTGAGTCCAGGGAGCACAGGGCTCACAGAAGTCACACCATGATAAAGACTCTTGCTCTCTGGTCCAGCTGTAGCACTCCCGGAGGGCAAGAGGACAGGATATCAACTTTCGTTTTCCCACAACCCCCCTGCACTCTCAGAGTTTCTCAAACAGTATTTAATGGGGTGTCTCCTGCCTGCCCATCTGAGCTGGGACTTGCGATCACACCTTTGACACATTCCCACCTGCTTGGTTTTCTTGCCATTTTCACTTGGCTCCCCACAGTCCAGGGCACTTTCCTTTGCTCCAAAATGAAGATAACATTCAGGTCAAAAAGAGAGGTCCCTACTCATAAAAACAAAGAAATATAATATGCTATGGGGTTTTCTAGAATCTCAGTACTATGCTCACTTGAGACAGAACATTACAGATGAATCTAGAAAAATAGTTCACTTTAATATCCAAGAACCACTAAATCAAAAGCATAGGGATAAAAGACAGAGAATTGAATACTTTAAAGGTTGGCCATGGAACTTTACATATCCTTCAGCCCTGGAATCACACAAGGATGTGTAATAAAGGGAAAAGAACATCTGAAGAAAGGGGACAACTAAAGTGCAGATGCCACCTTGCGAAGCTTTTCTTTCTGAGTCCATACAGCTTTAATCAAATCACAAAGGGATGTGTAAGAGGTACACAAGAAAAAATGCAAAGATGCGCAAGGGTGGATCCCGACTTCCGGAGCGAGGTCATCCTCACCGAGGGACAGCAGGGTCCTGTAGTTCTCCAGCATCACGTCCCTGTACAAAGCTCTCTGAGTAGGGTCCAGGCAATCCCACTCCTCCTGAGAGAATTCTATGGTCACGTCCCTGAATGTCACCTGTTCCTAAAATGAAAAACACATTTCACTAAAGGGCTATGGGGAAGGTTATAATCTTCATATAAAGTGAGGAGGAAACTCTAAAGATCAGCTTGATTAAAATAAGCAAGCCAGAGGCAAGCTCTGATATTATAAAATACATGTTTGGTCTTTGTCTACATTTCTAACACAGCTCACTTGTAATCTGATTGTAATTTCTATCTATGGTAGCAGGAGGCTCCTTGACAGCTTTAAGAGGGGGCTGTCACCAGAAAGACCTAGGCAGGATTAGAGGGGTTGTGACACTCAGTTGTACCCTTTCACCCTGAGGGGAGAAGAGCTGAAATCTGGATTGCTCATCAATGGTCAGTGATACAAGCAGTCATGCATACATGATGAAGCTTCCACAAAACTCCACAGACAGCATTCAAGGGAACACCCAGATAGCTGAACAAATGGAGGTTCTGGGAGGGTGGAGCAGCCAGAGGACATGGAAGGAAGCACTGCACCTCTCACCCACACCTCACCTTATGCATCTCTTCCATCTCAGTGTTCATCTGTATCCTTCACAATAAACCGTGAGGGTAAATAAAAGTGTTTCTCTGAGTTCTAGTGAGCCATTCTAACAGATTATTCAAACAGGAGGAAGGGGTCTTGAGCTGCCTCACTCAGAGCTGGTCATTCAGAACTTCAAGTCACTGGCATTTGAAGTGGGGGCACTTTTGTGGAATTGACCCTTGAACCGGTGCGATCTGATATTATCTCTGTAGATAGTGCCAGAATCAAAGTGAATTAGAGGACACCCAGCTGGTGTCCGATGCAGAACTTCTTGCTTTGTGTAGAAAGATATCCACCCCACCCCTAAGCTGGGTCACAGAAGCATTCTGCACAGTAAGAGTACAACAGGGGAGGGGCAAGCATTTGGAACAGTGGTTAAGATGCTTGGGACACCCACATCACATATCAGCGTTCCAGTTCCTTCACTTCTGATCTAGCTTCCTGCTAAGGCACACCCTGGGAGGGTACAGTACAAGTGCTTGGGTCTACACCACCCACAGAGGAGACCAAGATGGAATTACAGGCTCCTGGCTTTGGCCTGGCTGTTGTGCATATTTGGGGAATGAACCAGTAACTGGAAGATCATTCTCTCTCTCTGCTTTTCAAATAAAGAAAATAAATTTAAAATAATAAAAATAGTATATCATGAAAATATAAATACTAAAACTTGAACACAATGTCTATTAAAGATCTACACTTAAAATAAAAATAGAATTTTATCCATTTTAATTTAGTTATTTAGATGTTAACGGCAGGTGCCGCGGCTCACTAGGCTAATCTTCCGCCTTGCGGCGCCAGCACACCGGGTTCTAGTCCCAGTCGGGGTGCCGGATTCTGTCCCGGTTGCCCCTCTTCCAGGCCAGCTCTCTGCTGTGGCCTGGGAAAGCAGTAGAAGATGGCCCAAGTCCTTGGGCCCTGCACCCCATGGAAGACCAGGAGAAGCACCTGGCTCCTGCCATCGGATTAGCACGGTGCGCCGGCCGCAGCGCACCAGCTGCGGCGGCCATTGGAGGGTGAACCAGCGGCAAAGACCTTTCTCTCTGTCTCTCTCTCTCACTGTCCACTCTGCCTGTCAAAAAAAAAAAAAAAAGATGTTAACAACACTGCAATGGAGTTCATTAGCTTATTTCACTAAAAAATCATAATGTAAGATCAGGAAATTTAAAATAATAAACATTAACAAAAAAGATCAAAGAAATATATATTGGAACACTACATACTGAAAGAAATAATAATTAAAAATCAGGTCAAAAAGGTAATTTAAAGAAATAATCAGGGTCAGTGCTGTGGCATGGTAAGCTAAAGCCTCTGCCTACAGCACTGGCATCACATATGGGCACCAGTTCATGTCCTAGCTACTCCTCTTCTGATCCTGCTCTCTGCTTATGGTCTGGGAAAACAGTAGAAGATGGCCCAAGTACTTGGGAACCTGCACCTGCGTGGGAGAACCGGACAAAGCTGTTGGCTCCTGGCTTCAATCAGCCTACTTCTGGCTGGTGAGGCCATTGGGGAATGAACCAGTGGATGAAAGAGCTTTCTCTCTGTCTCTCCCTTTCTCTTTCTGTGTAACTCTACCTCACAAATAAAATAAAAATCTTAAAAAATAAACAGCCAAACGTGGTATTAAGTAAGATTATCTCTCCAAACATCATGATCAGCAGTAAAGAGTGGGTACATTTCCTCTAAATTAAGGAGGCATAGAGGAGGCCGGCGAGGGCCAGAGCCACTCACCCCTGTGCAGGATGCCTGATAAGGGGCCAGTAAAGAGGGAAAAGATGAGAAAGGAGGGAGAAAGAAGAAAGAAAAGAACTGTATTTGTTAAAACAGTTGGCTAAATGCTACAAAAATAATGTCATTTAAATGTGGGAACCAACAACAATATCCTGAAGACAATCCTCCTCCTTTAGTAGATCTCATTAACCTTTCTCTCTCTCTCTCTCTCTCTCTCTCTCTCTCTCTATCTCTCTATCTCTCTATCTCTCTATCTCTCTATCTATCTCTATTTCTCTCTCTCAGGAATATCTGATGTTTCCATTGGCAAATATACCATGACATCAAAATTAAAAGATATCCCCAGATCTATGAAATTATAAAACTATTGAAGGAGTACTGTCAGCAAGACAGAGGAATAGAAAGTCCCAAATTCTATCTATCTTTTGGAGAAACAGAATTAGCAAGAATACATGAATCAAATTGCCTTTGTGAGAAATCTAGAAACCATATAAGGCAATTTGCCTCGTAGGAAAATTTCGTGATGTGGAAATCATCAATTCCCAATTTTCCCCAGGGCAAGAAAATAGCCATCCATTATTCTTACTGACTGCCTAAGGAACTGGTCTCTGTCCTGTTAATGCATTGAAAGTGACAGGGTACCGAGTCAGGGGCCCCTGAGAGCGAGGGCCATGATATTATCAATGTCTGCAGTTAACACTAAATGGAGATGCAGGCCACAACCTACTGAGACTCCATGAATGGGCCAACATGCAGGCAGGCAACAGGGACACCCTAAATAGACATCAGCAAACTCGCTCAGTCAGGAGGTTACAGCAACACACTGAAGAGAACCTAGGCCCAGAAAAGGTATGAGAGGTCTGAAATCCCTCAAGCCTGGACCCCTGGCGAGTGACCCACTTAAGGAAGTCAGAAACCAGAAACTAGGAGAACTGGCTGATTTCTGAAATGCCAAACCATCAACCAAGACAACCAGATCCACAAGAAGAAAAGGAAACATAGCCCATACAAAGAAACAAATTAAATCACAAAAATAAAAAACATGACAAAAGGGAGATATATTAACTCACATGGAGAGGTCAAAGGCTAAAGAATCCACCCAGGATATATCTAAAACCTACAGAGGACACATCATAATCAAAGCATCAAAAGTGAGACACAAAACAGTCTTGGCAACAGTAAGAGAAAAGTGACTTATGACCCAGGAGTATCAGATTTATCAGCAGAAACATGCAGGCTACAGGGGATTGATATGATACATTCAGAGTGCTGACAGAAACCAAATGCCAACTAAAAACACTATAAACACTGGTAAAAACGTCCTTCAGAAAAGGAGAATTCAGGAAATTGAGACTTTGCCCCATAAACCAAACTTGAGGGAGAACATCATGACTACACCTGTCCTACAAGAACTTCTACACAGATATTCGGGTTCAGATGAAATTATAAACTGAAAAACCAAAGTTTACAAAAACATAAAACTTGCAGGTAAAGTTAAATATAAGTATATACAGAACTCGTTACATTTTAACACAGGTGTGTGTACATCACTTTGAAATCAAGTACAGAATCTTTTTAATAAAATAATAAGTCCATATGCAGTATAAAAAGAAGGAATGTGGGGCCTGTGCTGTTAGTGCAGAGGGTTAAGCTGCTGCTTGGGATGCCTGCATCGCACACTGGAGGGCCAGTTCAAATCCTGGCTCTCCCACTTCGGATGCAGTTCCCTGGGAGCCAGCAGACAATGGCCTGATGCAGTCCTAGCTCTAGGCTTCTGGGGAGTCAAACAGTGGACAGCAGACCACTTCTCTTTCTCTTTCTCTCTCCCCCTCCCTCTCTTCGCCCTTTTTTTTTTTTTTTTTTTAAAGATTTATTTATTTGAAAGTCAAGAGTTACACAGAGAGAGGAAAGGCAAAGAGAGGTCTTCTGTCGGATGGTTCACTCCCCAACTGGCCACAACGGCCGGAGCTGTGCCGATCCGAAGATAGGAGCCAGGAGCTTTCTCCAGGTCTCCCACACGGGTGCAGGGGCCAAGGACTTGGGCCACCTTCTACTGCTTTCCCAGGCCACAGCAGAGAGCTAGACTGGAACAGAAGTAGCCGGGACTAGAATCGGCGCCCATATGGGATTCTGGTGCTTCAGGCCAGGGCATTAACCCACTGCGCCACTGCGCCACCCCCCTCTCTCTCCTCCCGCTTCAAGAAGATGAAAATAAATAAATCTTTTTTTAAAAAAAAAAAAGAAGAGAGGTCATTTGTATTGTAACATGGACTGGGGTGGGGGGATGGTTTCAGATGTAGAAGAGTAGAATTTCAGTTGTTCGAAAGATGGGAAAATGGCCGGCGCCGTGGCTCACTAGGCTAATCCTCCACCTAGCGGCGCCGGCACACCGGGTTCTAGTCCCGGCTGGGGCGCCGGATTCTGTCCCGGTTGCCCCTCTTCCAGGCCAGCTCTCTGCTGTGGCCAGGGAGTGCAGTGGAGGATGGCCCAGGTGCTTGGGCCCTGCACCCCATGGGAGACCAGGAGAAGCACCTGGCTCCTGGCTCCTGCCATCGGATCAGCGAGGTGCGCCGGCCACGGCGGCCATTGGAGGGTGAACCAACGGCAAAGGAAGACCTTTCTCTCTGTCTCTCTCTCTCACTGTCCACTCTGCCTGTCAAAAAATAAAAAAAAAAAAGAAAAAGAAAGATGGGAAAAGATATCCCATGCAAATGGAAGTCTAAATAAAGTAGTGCTGGCTATCCTTGTATCAAAAAAACAACAACAACAACAACAAAAAAAAAAAAAACAAAAAAACAAACACCTTTAAAGATAAAACTGTCACCAGAGAAGGGTTCTGTATAATGATAAAAGGGACAATTTTCCATGAAGATATGACAAGTATAAGTATACACCTGACATTAGCACTCCTCAATGTAAAAAGGAAACATTAAAAATATGAGAGGGAAAACTAGTCTGCCGCACAGTAAGACTAATGGTAAGAAACCCCACTGCTACAAACAGAACGACCAGACTGATCAGCAAGGGCACAGAGCGCGTCTTGGTCTGGGTGTTCTTGTTGTTCACTATATTTACCTCTTTACTTTTTTAAGATTTATTTATTTGAAAGGCAGAGTTACAGAGAGGCAGAGGCAGGAGAGACAGAGTGAGAGAGGTCGTCCATCAGCTGGTTTGCTCCCCAAGTGGCCCCAACAGCCAGAGCTGGGCCAGTCTGAAGCCAGGAGCCAGGCGCTTCTTCCAGGTCTTCCATGTGGGTGCAGAGGCCCAAGAAGTTGGGCCATCTTCTACTGCTTTCCCAGGCCATAGCAGAGAGCTGGATCGGAAATGGAGCAGCCAGGACTCGAACTGGCACCCACAAGGGAAGCTGGCACTGCAGGCGGCAGCTTTACCCACTACACCACAGCACCAGCCGCTATATTTACTTATTGTGACAGAATATAGAAATCATTAGCAGAAGCCAAAAAAAGATCTACAAGTATGTAGAAATCAACTCACTTTTAAATAACCAATGCAGGTATGGTGTTGTGGTGCAGTGCTGGCCTCCCATAAGCACTGATTCGAGTTGGAATGATCTACTTCTTACCCAGCTCTGTGATAATGTGCCAGGGACAAAAGCAGAAGATGGACCAAGTGCCTGGGGCCCTGTCACCCACGTAGGTGACATGGATGGAGTTTCAGGCTCCTGGCTTTGGCCTGCCATAGCCCCAGCTATTGAGGTCATTTGGGGAGTAAAGCAGTGGATGGAACACCTCTCTCTCTCTCTCTCTCTCTCTCTCTCTCTGTTTCTGTAACTTTGCCTTTCAAATAAATAAATCTTTAAAAAATAAATAAATAACCAGTGGGTCAAAGTAGGGGAAAAAAAGAATTGAGAAAATTTCTGCAGTAATAGTGAAATAAAAATATAATACACTAAAGCTAACGGGATTCAATGAAAGCGGTAAAGGATAAGTGAGTGGTAATAAAACTGTTAAGAATGAACTCCAATCAACAGCCTAACCTTCCACCTCGATACAGAAAGAACTAGAATAACATGAGCAGAAGGAAGGAAATAATTAATATTAACAACAGACAGGAATTATATGGTGGACAGAAACGTTCAACAAAACAATTACGAACATTTTGTAAAGATCAACAAAATGACACATGTGCCCCATGCCCACACCCTGTGGAGCGTCTTCAAGTTCACAGTGAGATGGAATCTAAGCGGAAATGAGAGGGACCAGGGCAGGCGTGGGTGTGTGTGAGCCAACAGGTCAGAGAAGATTCACCGCCCCAATGCCTGGTGTGTCAGAAAGGAGGGCGACAGGACAATTCACCCAGAACACAAGTACCTGCGTCAGAGCCATCCCTGACTGCTTTTCTTCCCTCTTCCTCCTCTTCAGGTAACACGAGAGTCCTTGGAAGTCAATCTTGAATGTCAAGGTTAGCTGTTTGATGCTTAGAATTAACACACTCCGTGCCAGGCCACAACCACACGCACAGGGAAGGCCTCACCATGTAGAAGACGGTCCTCTGCTGCCCACTGCACCTGCAGGAACATAGGGACAACAAACTCCTGCACACAAACCAATGCATGAATCTTTTCCTATTTCTTCGGAACCCACTCTCCTCCAGGTGAAGCCCACACATGTGCTCAGCACTGGGGAGCTGGGCTGGACTGAGCCCAGTTCCAATACCAAACCCTGACCAAACGCCATGCAGAGCACAGACCCCCAAACCTCTGTGGATCCCAGGCTGACCTCAACCCCTCAGGAATGCAGGACACAGAGCCAACCCGCTCAAGGCCGGTCACAGAGTGGAATCAACTTTAAATATTTTAAGGCTGGGTCCCAAACTATGTGAATGGAAATTTACTGCTACCAGGGGGCACAAGATGCCCCTGCACTCTAATGGGAAGCCAGGGTGCAGCACCACTCAGAGGGAAAAGCCCAACATACCTCCCCAGTTCTGGTTCTGAGCAGAAGTGGGGGGTGGGTGTGGCTGGAATGTTAATGAGGCGGTGGGGGGGAGGTCACAGAAGTCTCCATGGAGAAGATGACACTGGAACAAAGACCTGGCCAGGAAGGACATTTGCCACCTGCAGCTGAGGGTGCAGAGTCCTAGGCAGAGGTAGAGCAAAAGTGGAAGCCCCCAAGCAGGAGCGACCCTGGGGGCTGCATGGCTGGAGTGGAATGAGGGAAGAGGACGAAGCAGGCAGGGAGGTCAGAGAGGGACCGGGGGCACAGCAGGTTGGACCAGGGCCCTCTAACATCTTACTACCACACCTCAAAAAGACTTCTGAAAACCACTTCCTCACCCATTTGGTGTACACATGTAATTTTTTCTATTTAAATTAAAGCATGTACTAATATCACATGTATTAGATACAGGCAGTGATGTTTGGTGAAACCCTAGAAAGTACAGGGTCGCAACTGCCTGAGAACAGCAGGGCTGGTGCAGGCATGAATCCGGGGAGCTCAGAGAGGCCCATGAGGACACGCAGAGGTGGGGATGCACGTTAGACGGCCCAGCAGAGCTGCGACGACAACTGGGCGTCAACTGGACCGGGATCCTCTGCCTGAGGGGCGAGGACTCCAGGGGAAATGAAGAGGAGCAGGTGGTGTCAAGGCCTTGATAAGAGATGACAAAGTCAGAGGGTGTGGCAGAACTAGAAAAGGTTCAGGGACTCAGCTGTGGGACTCAGGAGACAGCAGGAGAGGAAGTGAGAACCAACCAGAGGGGTCACAGGAAAATCCAAACAAGCCGATTTTTAAAAGTGAATGGGATGTCCTCGAAACCAAGAGAAAACGAGAGAGAGTATGCAACTGTGTTGCATATGTTGCTGACAGAACAAGGATGAAGACAGAGTATTACACACTGGATTTAGAAATCGGGAAAATACTGGCTACTCTGAGATGGAAAGCAGCAGTAGAGGGTGGATATGAAACCCAACTGGGTTCACACCAGAGTTAGGAGGCTGAATTAAAGACAGAGTAAAATCAAGTTTTGGGCTCTTAAATGGAACGCAGAAAAGGGTACTTACAGAGAAATGTAGTTACTGCAGAATTTTGTTTTGAATATGGAAGAGTGGAAAGAAAATAAAATCTTCATTCAGTGTGTGTGTTTTATGCACGATACACTTTTGCAGTACACTAAAATAAAACCCTGGGTTAACCACAGTGGCACAGTGGAGGAAGGATACACACCGTTCTGAGACGGTGAGGAGGGCTGACAGCGGTGCACAACCACAGGGTGGGCAACAGCCAGTTGCAGGGACGGGTCATTGCCAGTCAGTACTGAGCTGACAGCTGACACGGGAGGAGACGGGTGGGTGGCGCAGGTGGAGGTGACTCTTCCTTTCACTGTTTGAGACAGAAAAAAACAAACTGTTGTCCACGCTCTCAACTCTACACCCCATACTTCACCTCCGGTCAGCGACTTGTGTAGGCGGCTTTTCTCACACTCCCACAAGAATAACTCAATTCTGACACTCTCTACAGGGGAAAAGTGTCAGATTCTGGGGGTTCCTGGCTCATTCTCTAGACACTTCCTCACCTCCGAGGCCATATGCAAATAGCAGCCGCCACCTACTCTTCTGCCAGACCAGGTGAACATCAAGCTTCCTAGTCCCACCCACCTGTTTGGCTAATTGGCAAGGACAGCTCTTCCGGCGGGCTGCTCACCGCTTTCCCTGAATTCTATGAACTAGGTGAAGTACTCTGTCGTGCTCAGCGTGTACTAAGTGTGAGGAGGGGACACACTGGTTTTCCCTGTTATCTCACAGCCCCACACTTTACTCCCTGCCACGCGAAGGGAAGACGGGGCCCACAACCCAGAGACAAATCACCACTCTTGGGCTCACTAATCACAACGGGGAGCGATCCTCTGCCAAGACTTGTGCCCATGCCTTGCAGGGTGGGGCTTTTGCCATTCTCAATCTTGTATCATCGAACACACGCTTAATGTGTCCGACGATGACGGCAGACGTCAGAATTTCACAGCCTCGCCACCCCCACCCACCGGGCGCCGCGTTCTCCTTGTCTTCACTGGCTACTTCCGGCCCTCGTCGTGGTGCACGGGCCCCCCACTCCCTAGCTGCTTTCTGGCTCCCCCTGGGCTTCCGATCCTCACTGCGGGCCTTCTCCTCTCTGCCTTCACCTGTTCCATCCTTGCAGCCTGCCTCGCCTCTCGCTACGCTGTCTCCTGTCTTTCGTCTCCAATGTGCTTATCTTTCTTCCCCAATTTCTGCTCTGCCAGACAAACTGTTAGACCCCCTTCCCCTACTCTCTCTCCCCACTCTCTCTGCCAGTCCCTCACTATCTGGTTAAGGGTCTAACTCACTCTTTTCTTCCTCAGTTTTCCTAGTTTTTTTTCCTCAGACCCCCTCAGCCCGCACAGTCCTGGGGAAGGGGAGGGGGCGGCGTAAGATGGCCGACCGCGGAGGGGCTTTCTCCACCGGGTGGAATCGGGCCCGAAGAACCAGGGTGTCCTTACCCAGGCCCTGGGACCTCGCGGGGACCGGGGAGGCTTAGGGGCGGCAGCGGGCGGACAGGGAGCGGCTGAGGAGAGGGGTGGGGCCCGCGGCCCCCCAGGACTGGGGAGGACGCCCCCTCTCCTGGACCGAGCTGCCGAGCGCCCAAGGAATGCTCGTGGCTAGGGGTGGGGAAACGAGGCCAACAACGGACTGTAAATCGACAACCGGCGCACGAGGACGCGTCTACACCGCCCCGAGGGACGGAGACGCGGGCAGAGCCGGCCTCCGAGCGACTTTAACCCCAAAGGCGGCGGGACCCTAATGTCTACAGGGACTCCCCACTCCGCAGGGAGGGAGGCGTGGGGGGCCGCGAGGCGCGCATTTTAAGGGTAACAGAGAAACTCACGCGCCCCGGAGTGCCCTTCACTAGACGCGATCCCTTCCGGGTCCGGGGGAACTGCGCGCGCAGCCGGGGCGGGGCCAGCGCGGTGGGCGGGGCCGGGGCGGGGCTTGCGCGTCGCTCTCCTCCCGCGCTCCTGCAGGCTCCAGTGGGGCCCCGGGTCTCGCCGCAGGGTTCCCGTGGGGGCGGAGATTAGCTGGAGCGGTTTAAAGCCCCGGAGTTGTCTACGAGCGTGCAGGATCCTGGTCTCGAACCAGCACTCATATGGGATGCTGGCACCTCAGGCAGATGCTTAACCTACTACCCCATACAGACAGCCCCCCCAAAAATACATGTTTTAAAATTTATTTTTAGGTTGGCACTGGGTATAGCAGCTCGGGTGCCAGCATCCCATATGGGCACTTGTTTGAGTCCCAGCTGTTCCACTTACCATCCAGCTCCCTGCTAATGTCCATTGGAAGGCAATGGAAGATGGTCCTAGTGCTAGGGTCCCTGCACCCATGTGGGACACTGACAGAAGCTCCTGGCTCCTGGTTTTGGACCTGCCCTGCTCCTGCCATTGTATCCATTTGTGGAGTGAACCAGCAGAGAAATTTCTCTTATCTCTCCCTCTCTCTAAATCTGCCTTTCAAAAAATTAGTTAAATGAATAAAATCTTCTAAAAATTTGTTTTTATTTTCACATACTGTTTGGACATAACTGTATTACATCAAAAATTAATTTTTCAAAAAATATTTATTTGAAAGTCTGAATTACAGAGAGAGAAGAAAGAGAGAGAGATCTTTCTCTTTAATTTATTTATTCGCATGCATTTTATAAATACAACTTTAGGAACTCAGGAATTCTTCCCAACGTGACCAACCTCCCACTCCTCTTCCTCTTCCCTCTACTGTTCCCAGTCTTGTTTTTTGCTAAGCTCTACTTTCATTTTTCTTTATACACAGAAGACTAACTCTGTTCTAGGTAAAGAGTTTAACATGTTGTCTGAGAAAGAAAAACTGTTCATCAACAGTCCAGATGAGACATACATCTGCTCCTTTGCTCCCCAAATGGCCGCAATGGCCAAGGCTGGGCCAGGCTGAAACCAGGAGTCAGGAGCCTCTTCCAGGTCTCCCACACAGGTGCAGGGGCCAAGGACTTGGGCCATCTTCCACTGCTTGCTGGCCATTCACAGGGAGCTGGATTGGATGTGGAGCAGCTGGGACTTGAACCAAAGGCCACAAGGGATGCTGACTGTAGCCAGCAGCTTAACCCACTGCACCACAGCACTGGCCACAAACATTGAATTTAATTGAATTGAATCACTTCCCCTTGACCAAGATGTGTTTTACACTTTGGGTTTGCATCATGTTCTGCCACCTAATGTCTGCAGTGAATTATGATAGAGCACATGAGGATTTCTGTTGGGCACTTGTGTGTGTGGCCATGGCCTGCTGGGTCACGTGTTCACAGCGACTCCTCTGTAGGAGATGTCACCACAATGTTTTCCAGGATGTGGCAGCTAATTTCAGTCTAGCCCCGCCCTGACCACAGAGGCATCTACCCATTCCCTCAACACTGCCATGGCAGTCGGCCCTGTGTGTGTCCTGGGAGCGACCTGCACACGTCTCATAGGACGCATGGTGGGCAGCAGGATCACTGAGTTAGGGGCCCTGCACTGTGTGGGACACTCAGAAGAAGCTCCAGGCTCCTGGCTTTGGATTGGCTCAGCTCCAGCCATTGCAGCCTTTTGGGGAGTGAACCAGTGGAGAGAAGATCTCTCTCTTTCTCTGTTTCTCCCTCTGTCTGTAACTCTGCCTCTCAAATGAATAAATAAATCTTTAAACAAAATAAAGAAGAAATGGTGGTCATTTTATCCTTTAAGGGAAATAGTTGTCATGTGATGTGCCTTCCACAAGTTCATGGAAAAGTGTGCCATAAAAGAAAAATGATGCATGGGTTTCAAATAGTTTTGCATCTAAATAAACATCTCTAAGTTCCATGTTCCTACAGAGCTTCTGCTGTACCCTCAGAGACGAATAAAAGATTAGTGGCATTCTTGGAAACTGAAGACTGCAGTTATCAGAAGTTAATTTAAAAACCATGTTACAGTATGTGTGTGTGTGTGACTAGTGTTTACCACCTCTCTGATTCCATTTTACTTGGAATGTATCATAGTTCTTAGGTTGTAACTAATAGAGCTTCATTTTTGGAAAGTCTGCTTGAATCATGTCTTTTCTATCAATTTAGTAACTGTCGGGGAACGGGACAGCCTGGCCAGCTGTGCCCCTCCCAACATGTACAAGCACAAGAAGTTTAGTGCTGGGCTTTTTCCACCCTGCCCGTTGCTAATTGCAAGATCCTGTTTTGACTTTAAGCATCCTGTTATTGCATGTTTCCCACACTTAGTTGGTAACATGTTTTCCGTGAATCATATATAAATAGGTGGACGGTGGGCGGGAGTGATGAATGAACGCTGGTAAAAGGCGGAGTTATGAATGAACGCTGGTAAAAGGCGGAGTTGTGAATGAACGCCGGTAACAGGCGGGAGCTGTGAATGAACACCAGTAATAAGCGGGAGTGGTGAATGAAGGAGTTGTGAATGAATGCCGGTAACAGGGCGGGATATATAAGAGGGTTGGAGGAGGCGAAGACGGCGGGCGTTCGCGACATGTAACGCGAGTCTGCTGAAAAATAAAGTGGAAGCTGAAAAGCCGATAAACGCGTCTGGTGTCTCCGAGGTCTTGCCGGCGTTAACCTATCCGGAAGGTAACACTACCCCGTAGACTGGTAAGGTTGAAAGGCAGACATGACAGTTTTTCCATAGTGTAATAAAAATATAGTCTTATGAATATATATACTCACAATTCATACTTGAGTTTTTCTCTAGCTACACCGCCCTCTGGATATTTACATATCTATAATACTTACGTATCTACAACTAAAACCAGAGCAGCACAACTATAGATTATCCTCTGCACTACTCTTCATGAACTTGATCAGTGTGATTGTGCTTCCACGTGCCCTTCTTAGCACCCACTTTAAAATCCACTGTGACGTGGAATGGCCGTTGTCTCAACTGTTGAGGAGCAGTTTATTTTTGTCGTACAATTTGTATTCAACTCTTTACTTAGTGTAGAGTTAGTCATATGTATATCAATTTCATTGAAAATAGATCTTAGCAAAAATAAGAATGGGAAAGAAAGGAGGAAGAAGCGTGGGAGTGTGGGTGGGAGAGTGGATATGGTGGGAGAATTGCTAAGTTCCTGAAGTTGTATTTATAAAACACATGAAGTTTGTATTTCTTAAATAAAAGGGAAAAATTAAATAAATAATTTTTTAAGAAAAAACAAGATCCACTGCTTGCCTCGGACTCAATTTACATAAAGCAAAAGGTAAGAATATACTAAGTATGCAGAAAATGTGAAACAAAATAAATTGTCAGGAATAAATAGAGAAGATTTGTGTGCTTCGAGCTCTCATGAATAGTCATGAAATATCACTGATGAGTTCTCCCCATAAGCATGAGCATACACAAGTAAAGGGAAAATGTTAATTTTGTTTTTTGTTTTGTAGTTTCTTTGTGAACAAGGAATTTCACATCTTCATATACCTCTTCTCCCCATATTACTGGTTAATTTTCAGCTTTGGACACCTGGCAGACCTAGGGTCAACATTTATCCTAACTTTGATTCCGATATTGCCTTAGTTCATTTTTTGTTGCTATTACAAAATACCCATAGTTGGGCTAATTTATTCTTTAAGATTTATTTTATTTATTTGAAAAGGTACAGAAGAGGTTGAGCCAGAGAGACCGAGAGAGAGAGAGAGATCTTCCATATGCTGGTTCACTTCCCAAATCGCTGTAATGGCTGGATCTACTCTGATCTTAAGCTAAGAGCTAGGAGCCAAGTGCTTCTTCTCAGTCTCCCATTTGGGTGCAGCAGCCCAAGGACCTGGGCCATCCTCCACTGCTTTCCCAGGCCATAACAGAGAGCTGGATTCGAAGAGGAGCATTGGGACTTGAACCAGTGTCTATATGGGATGGCAGCAGTACAGGTGGCAGTCCCACTTGCTACACCACCACACTGGCCCCCATAAACTTTTTGAAGTGCCTATATATATACATATATTATATAATATATATATTATATATATGTATAAAACACACACTCACCTAAGAATCCAGTCTCATTTTAACAATATTTAAAGCATGGGGCCAGTACTGTGATGCAGAGGGTTGCAACCCAGGCATCCCTTCTCAGAGTGCAGTTTGAATCCCAGCTTCATGCTAAAGGGCGTGGGAGAGCAGAAGATTATGGCCCAAGTGTTTGGGCCCCTACCACCTCTGTAGGAGACTCAGATGGAGTGCCTGGTTCCTGGGTTCTGAGGAGGGAAACAGTGGATGGAAGAGTGCGCTTGCTCTCTCTCTCTCTCTCTCTCTCTCTGTTTCTCTGTTGTCGCTCCCCCTCTTCGTGGATGAATGACACAGGACCCTGCGCTGTTCTTTTGTCTGCTCGGCCCTTCCCGGGTTTGCTGCTGGTTCTTCCCAGGTTGGCTGCCGTCCTTCCACCTCCATGGAAGGGCGGTGCCCCCTGCCACTTTCCCCACTTCCGCGGGGGAGCGGCACACGGCCGGCCGGCTCTCTTGGGGCTGCTCAGGTGTTCCTTCAGATAGATGTTCCCCTTTTACAAGTCTTTTCTATAGTAAAGTAAGAATAGGCAAACAGCGAACTTCCAAAGCAAGAATGAGTAGAGAAATGAGAAAGAACGAAGCAACGAACTTCCCCACGAACTCTCCAACGCACTCTCCAACCAACCCCCAACACCGTGCTGTCTCTCTCCTCTTTTATAGTCCTCTTCCACCGATTCCCAACTCTGCTACCCACACACCGAGTATGCTGCTTTCCTCCAATCAGGAGCAGGTTAGGTTATTGGTTGAACTGGAGGCAGCTGTGTAGAAGCTGTTTCCTCCTCTCCCAGCGCCATATTGTGGGAGAGCAGATGCATAGAAT